GAATTCTATAAGCCTAATGCCTACAGATGGCTACCACCACTATTACGATTATTCGCCATAATGACAACTGTACAAACGACGACATATTGCTGGTAATTTTGACGCGGTTGATCTGCGATGCTTCTGAAAATAAAACCTTTCTAGTTACTGCAAATACTAATATTGTAGAGAAAAATGCCTTAATTTACCAGACTTAGAATCCAGAAGTTTCTTGCTACAGAAAGAATCAAAACAGAAAAAAAATGAGCAGGCTGTCCGTCTCGACCGTTAGAATATGAAGCGGGTTAAAATGAGATTCAGTAGCTTGTATTATTTTTGCGTCAGCCCGACAGCATCGGTTTTGCGTTCGCGCTAAGATTTTCCGAACAACAGCTGATGAGGTCTGTTGTGCAACAGGATGTGGCGCAACACAAATCAGGGGGAGGGGGAGGGCGCGGGGTGACTTGTCCTATTAGAGGTATCAAACTCTCGATTTTTCGCATAGCAGCAAAATTAGCCCCTGTCACGTCATGTTCGCCAACGCAAATAATCTGATACTGAATTAATATGAAACAAACTGTATATGCAGTTCTTTACAGTTCATTCTACGGGAGATGCAAAAGCACAAGGAAGTACTGTAAAAGTGCTATCTCACGGCAGCAGAAACCGCACACTCACAGTAGTAAAGCTGCCGACGGCTTCTTTTTCTGAAGGTCATTTAAAGCGGATTGAACCACTGACTTCTAGCAAGATAGCAGGGCTACTAGTTATTGAGGTATGTCCATCAGCAAGTTTTGTTCACAAATGATGAGCCAGTTTCTTGTTAAAAGGGCTTTGCTGTACTATATGCTTTATAATTGTCCGGAAAATCTGGCGTAAATGCATTACAGCGTAAAAGCGAAGAGAATGTTCCTGCATTAATTATGATGCAAAATGGAGGTTGAAACCAACGTTCTGTGATGAACTGGTAATGTGCGTAAAAACCAGTGGCATCAAAAATATCATTTGAGCGAAACATCATCCGGAAATAGTTCGACTCGCTCACAATCGAATTCTTTGGACAAACTTGCCCACAGTAGCGACGATTTGTACGGTCGTGGGTCTGATAGTTGCTAAATAACACGTAGTCGCTATGTGTGCTATCGTCGCAACTGCAATTCACACAAGATTAAGTTGAAAATGATCCACCAGAGTTGCCAGTGCCAAGAGCATTTCTGCGCAAACTTCTAGAGCTTTTGCTACATTTCTTGGGAAGGAGGCGTTGGCTAACGGCTGGGACACAGTGTTGCACCACAGGGCCGCTTGAAATCATAGCCCTAACATGTATGATTTTTAATGATGCACAAGTTATAGAATGTCCGTTTTTTATGCGTTTTTTGCAGCAATGCAATGCGAAAAACGCATATTGACGAGAGGTTGTCT